CCCCCCCCTATATGTGTGAGGCGATCGGAGTAGTGTGGCGGATATCTAATGAACATTTTCCATCAACGAAGTTAATTTCAGTGAAAATTTTATAATTACAGTGAATTGCAGCCTGTGGAAAAAACTTACCTCACTGTTGCAGGAGATGTAGTGTCAGGAAAGAATCTGCAGGATTTCAGTAAATCCTATCCAGTTGAAAAGTCAATTCGGCAAACATGTTTTCAACAATTCAGCATGGGGCCTGTGAAATTGCATTTATAATGAAAATATGACAGTTGGACAGGGTTTATAAATGTCTTATAAGTAAAAATCATCGTTCTCACATCGTCCGCATGGCGAGGTCTTCGTTTTAAGGTCATTAAGCTGGGAAAGGGAGGGGAAAATAGCATAGGCTGTAAGTAATGGTCATGGGTCGAGTATGCGGAGTGAACAGCACTGCCAAGTGCACTGAGTAAACAACTGTCACCAGGAGGTGAGGGGCGAGATGCGCTCGCCAACTGGCGTCGGGATCGGCCACGGAAGAGAAAGCGCCTGTATTCGCGTCTTTAACTGCGCAACACTAAATTCACTAGCCGAATAACCAATGCACTTATGCACACTCGCCTCTTTCCGTTGATAAAAACAAGTTTCTCATCAGTATCTTAAGTTAATAGGGGAGAGCCAAGCCGGTACGATCTTCAGGCCCGATTCTACAGAGATAAAGAAGAAGTAGGACGAAAGGTGGGAGGAATAGTATATTCTGTACAGAGGCAGTGAGAACTGCAGCGCCTGCAGCGAGGTCATGTGTGAGTCAGCCTCAGGGAGACGATTGGTCGGACCGGATTGGTGTCGGCAGACACTAGTGCGCACGTACACGCAGTCGCGAGAGGTTGACGGTTGCATCCGGAGTTGGGTCACTACACTACATCTAAATTAATGACTTCTTGCAGAATGGTGGTTGGAATTCCGGAAATACCCAGAACCGTCGATACGGATCCCGCAACCCCAGAAAAAATGTTAGGCAATTAAAGCTAGCTTTGCACCACTTTCAGCGAACTCATCAAGGCCTTCAACATTGTGAACCGAGACGGCCACCGCATCTCAAAGAGGAAATAAGGATGTTTCCAACGAGGTAAAAGGCTTGCCACTGCACTCTTTATGCCCGGTTCCTTGTGATAAGGAGAAAAGGTGAAGGACCAGAGTGGTAGGAATAGTTTATTCTGTGAAGAACAAATGGAGAATAGATTGGGGGACGTTGACTGTCGGACGAGTGCAGTCCGGTCACTAGGGCGCCGGGTCCGAAGTGGTGAGAACGTAAGCAGTCATCGTAGTGAGAGCCTTTGTGAGTCGGCCCTGAAGATGATTGGCCAGACCGGGGAGCAAACTAATCCACACGTGTTAGTGGGCGTTTGCGGGGAGCACGGGGTATCCTAGAGATAGATCGAAGCTTTCAATCAGGTGACCTCATGTGTCCACTGTGTCGCCGCAGATGGAGTCACTACACCTCTACTCCGTTAACTGCAATTAATGCTTTGACTATGCTGAGCCGACTAAGCTCTCCGAAACGTTAGCATAGAAGCAAATCTGTTCTGGCGAACGCGTCTTACTTCTTTTATTATCGAGCCCGGATTCTCAACTTTGCCAATCTCAGTTCAGTTTCTTAATAAGCCCAATCATGAACTAAGTGGGGATACGACAACCACCGGTGGTGCCTTAACAGTTCTAGCTAAGGATTAACTCGCCACTCCCTCATAGGGAGAGGAGCTAGAAGCGGTAGTGTTGAAATTCCGGTACACTCCATCTATAAATCGTGGAAACTGGCGGCAACACGACAATTGTAAACAATCGCCTTCTCATATCTCTCTCATCTTCCTGGGAGTGTTACATCGCCCAGTCTGCATTGTAGGTTTGTATGCCAAGTGAATGACCAGCCAGCCAAAAAAGAGGACAAATCTGGTGACCCACGAATTGGGTAGACACAATAGAGACATTAGCCTCCTCAAGGAGATTCACCTCATGTGGCAAGAGTAGATGCAAGAAGTAGGGAGGGGAGAGAGGGGAGAGATGCACCGACGTCTGGAGAAGCCCGCTCAACAATATATTGAGGTCGCATGCATCGTACAAGCCGGCACTGTCAGAAGGCTGTCTTGTCTTGTAAAGGAATCAACGAGAGTTTCCGCACGCTGTGGCTACCACTGCGCGGAAAAAATTCATTAACACCCTAGCATTCGCACCCCCGAAAGACGACAAATCCTGGTGACAAATTTTACGGGAACCTGTGCGTACCTCCCTCCGGACAGCAATCACGGTAGCGGTGACGCACTAGGGATGATGTTCAGTGTCGCAGGCCAACCGCTTACTCATCTTCAAGATGAGGCTGTGAATCAAACCAGGGGGACTTGGGGAAATGAAGGCACCGATATAGCTAAACCTGGCAGCACTGACATTGTCTGCAGGCCAATGTGACCTCATTAAGAGACAGTGGCTTTTGAAAAAAAAGAATGCTGAGAACAAATGAGTCAGCGTAATGAACACAGACAAGGTATATCAAGGCAAATGATAAGTTCTGGATGCACCCACTACATCTTGCATCCGCATTTAACAATCATCTTGAAATTGCATACTTTGGAACTCTGATCTTCAATATTAACCCCAGACAAATGCTCAATGTTTTGACAATATCGGGTGAATGCCTTAAGCGTCGGGCTGATCCGATGATGGACGTCGTCTTTATCTTGCTTGGTCAACAGAAAGATCAATCCAAGTTAGCAGCAGTCATATACAAGCTCGGCAGCCTCACCGTCTATCGTGGCCGGGCAGAAATCCCGAACGCAAAACCTGAGGCGACCATTAATTACGAAATATCTCGACTTCAAGTCCACCTCCGCCTCCGTTGCGCTTATGTGCGATAAAGCACATTGTATTTCTGCTAGTGAGACTACAAATACTCCTAACGCCATCTGCGCAGTCAAGGTCTGTAATACAAGGGCCTCGACTCTCTGTACCAGCGAGATCGTCTCTTCACCTTATTTACCGAATCTAGCCGTGTTCTATGAAATTAAGCTTAACTCGAACGAAGTAATTTCGGTAGCATGCAGCATAATCGGCCGCAGGAGCTCCAGTAGACAGGTAAATACGGAGGTGAAGTCCATTAAGCAGACCGCGGTGGATAGTCGTGTTCGTGAGTTTTACGAAACAGAATTGGTCAGTACACCTCACAAACCGACAAGAGAGTGGACTCATGGCTCAATGGTTAGGGCGTTCGCCTATGGCCGGAGAGACGCGAGTTCGAAACTCGAGTGCGGCGGCAATTTCCGCTGCTACACTGGAGTTGGGTATCATCACCTGACGACGGCAAATGAGCCAGAAAAGGTTTTCGTGGATGTCCCTTTGTCTTTGTCGGTAATACAGTACACCTCTATCTTCGCCAAAACACAATTGATTCTTTTTTTACCAATGCCTCAACTTACAGGCGGGAGTGACGAAAGAGGACGATGGCAGCTCCTGTTGCGACAATACAAAGAAGACTCAGACCACAGCAGGGCTTACACAGTGGAAAAGCTTCCTTTCAGTGCGAGGGAACGGTCTCTGTTTCCCTAATTTTTATCAGAAAGCATCTCAAATAGTTAGCTAGTACAAGCCAACATCACTTGTGGATCTCTTCTGGAAGGAAGTCCTCGGCAGGTGCGGTGTGCTTCCTCACATTGGTGGATGGTGGGTTGCAGTCACAGTGATAAGTGGACAGTAATTGATTCTGTCGAGCCGGCCGGGTACAGCTAGACAAAGCATACTGCCTACAGGGGTACCATGCCTAACAGGCTGTTAGCCCAAGGCGGTCAAATCTAACATTCTACTAGTCCGCCGATTCGCCCGAACAGTTCAGCTCAAAAAACTTGACGGACCTTCCACAATTCGCTTGGAAGCTCCATGTTGCATAGAGGCCACGAACTGGTCTTTTAGATGACCTAAACTTGCTCGTCCGAAAATTTCAAACATTACAAGGAGAAAATAACCACACGTCTCAGCTGTCTGAAATCTGCCATAAAAACGTCAGGACGTAGAATACACTTGTGGCGTTGGCAATGGCACCACGAGGATACAAAAACACAATTCGAAGAGTAATTGGCGAGCATACGTATACTTTCAATAAATTCTCATC